CAATGACTCCCTATTCTATCTACTTTTTTGTTTGTTTGTTTGTTTGTTTGTTTTGAGACAGGGTTTCCCTGTGGCTTTGGAGGCTGTCCCATACCTAGCTCTTGTAGACCAAGCTGGTCTCGAAGTCACAGAGATGCATCTGCTTTTGCTTCCTGAGTGCTGGGATTAAAGGTGTGTGCCACCACTGTCCAGCTCATTGTATTTTCTTTTTAACAACTTGAAATCTTAAAGAAGACTTGAAAAGTAGAAAATCCTTTCATGACCCATTTACTCAGCTGTTGTTTATGCTTCCTCTGAAAATTCTTTGGAATCATCTAAGATTATCCTTCCAACAGAGGGGAAACCAACATTCCAACTGGGGATTAACATAGAGCTAGTGCTTCCTAGATCACATTTTCGAGTTCCAAAGTGGATACAGGTCACATAATTCCTGAGGCTGGAACTGTTTATTTAATTTTAGTCCATCACTCAGAACAAAGCGACCCATGGAGTCCCACACAGGTAGGTGCCTTTCTCTCAGTTCTTGGGAAGAGGTGTCTCTTCCCAATTGACATGGCAATTCTCAAATAATCACTAAGTTTGCTCCAAGAATCAGAATATAAATCCAAAGACAAGGTTAGCATTGAATTGTGAGCATTAGTGGTAAGTAATATCTAGCCATAGAATAAAGCAGGGCCATTGTAAAGCTAGATGATCTATGTTTCAATCCTCACATGCCTCCAAACACACACACAAAAGAAACATTTCTACTGCATGGGTGCACATTTTCTCCTGTGAAAAAGTGGGCCCAGCTTTGGATCTACATCTGCAGTTCTTATGGGAACTCACTGAATTAGCATCTGAGCATTGGTTGGGATGGATACACCCAGTCAGGAAAGTTGTCATTTAAGCTCTCAGTATGCCCAGAGTTCAAGGTCTGTGTGGGTATAACAATGTGCATATGGATAAATACCATACTTACAAATAAATTCACAGAGCAGGATGCAGACAGATGTACTTACTCCCATGTACAATATGTTTGTTGCATTTGTTCTCTGTCAAGAACTTAACACTTATATTGGCTTTCAATTGGGAAAGTCAAGAACATGACTTTTTGAAGAGGGAAAATATATAGTTAATTTAGCATGTATAACTAACTTAAAATTTAGAGAAAACAATGGACCAAAATATTTAGCAAATGTTCATGAAGAAAACACAATTGCTAAAGACAGAATGAGAGTTTTCTTTGAAATATTCTGCCTAATGAAATGCATTGAGGTGTTTTGGCCATTCCCCATATAATGCAAACTTAGCATCTATAAAGTATGTTTTATTGTATTACATGTGATTTATTTTGGAGATTGTACTTTAACTAAATACTTATATTAAATATATTTTAAATTAAAATATAGTGATTACTCCTTCCCTTTCTTCCCTTAAGCCTCTCTGATGTCCCCTCCTTTCAACTACTCTTTGCATGTTGCCCCATCAAATCAGTGGCCTCTTCTTTGATTTGAATTTTTGCAACAACAAATTAAACAACACACAGTAACTTTTAACATAGCAGGTATGAGGAAGTATTCAAGATAGCATTCTTTCCCTGGCATTGGGGATGCAACCACCCACACAGCATCAAGAAGATAAGTGCTACAGTGAATCGGGTTTATGCTCAGATAATCTAACATGATAAATTCTTCCATGTCTGATTACACTCCCTGGACTTAGACATTAAAACACTGATTTAATTTTAAACTGAAATTTTCGACAAGGAAGGATCTAAGCAACACATACTCATAGAGATCCCAGGGAAATGTATGGCCTGCTTCCCTGAAGACTTAACATTAATAGCCAGCATATACATATAATCCCACAATGCACATGTTTTGTCTCATCAGAAGAACAGGAAAGAATATGAAGTTAGTAGACTGTTTTTGGAGCAAACTAAAGAAAGAAATATTTTCCCTCCTCTGCTGAGTATGTAGTGTACTAGCATTAATTGTTGTACTGGCAGGGACAGGGAAAGTCCTATCATGGATAGTTTGACCAAAATTGATCTTTTCAGGCCTAACACTATCTCTCATCTTCAAATACAATCTGGATGTTGAATAAATTCTCAGCTTAAACTTTGTGGGTTTCAGACACCCACAAAGCTGTCCTCCCCTGTAACACCCAAGCCAGCAGGTGGAATATAAAGGAAGTGCTAGGTTGATGAAGAAAAGGAAGCAGCACATTGCCCTAACTAGACCACAGCAGAACCATTAGTGGGTACCAGTGGTGATGTACACATCATCCTTGCAAATAAAGCCAAACCAAGAGGATGCTGAGCTTGCTTCTCTCAAGCACATTGCATCTTTCTGGCTCAGTTTAGTTGAGGAGCTACCTTTCTGCTGATAGACAGTCTCTGACAGAATTCCCACAGGCCCACAGAATACTCTATGAACAAAACATGCCTTCCCCAAAGAGCTTGACTACTCATGATGTAATTTAAACAACTGAAGAGGGAGGTTGGATGCGCGCGGGCGCGCACACACACACACACACACACACACACACACACACACACACACACACTCACACACACACACACCCCTTTAATTCTGTCTTTTAAGTGCATTTCAATCTAGTTCTTATTTTAAAGAGCAGAAACTCTTTAAATTGTACAGGGATAATTATAACGGTGGTACATAGTAACAGAAAGGGTTTAATAAAATCCCATTTTATTAGCTTTGGGGCAGGAACTATCTGCCTTTCAGGGTCTTGGTCTCTGAGATTCATCATGGTTAATCACAATTCATATGTTATAAACTTTTGCACATGAGTGCATTTCAACACTCAGGATAAGTGATACAGTTTATGTATATAGTAGGCCCTCATTATACTTGGGGTTCTGGTTCTAAGATTTCCTCCCCTCAGACATCCAAATCCCAGAGATGCTCAAGTACCTTACTTTCAATGTCATCATCTGCACTGTAACATACACATATCTTATAAAAAAATCTCTAGATTGCTTATAACCTGAAATGAAATGCAAATGAAGTACAGATAGCTGTGATACTATTTTGTATGAGTAAGACAAGAGAAATGTCTGTACTTGTTTAGTACAGATGTCATTTTGAAGGGTTTTTTTAGTTGTAGCTGGTTGGGTCTGTGAGATTGGAGTGCATGGGCACAGCAAGTCGACTCTACAGTGTGTGTGACTAAATCTGATCTTTTTTCAGTGATGTGTTAAAGGAAATATGCCATACATGTAAACAGTAGAGCTTGCCACAATCTCATAGTCCATGTATCCTTGGGCATAGGGCTTCAATAAATTAGGGAGGAGAGGACAGTACTGGTGTCCATCTGTCTGGCAACCTGTGTAGTACCAAGGAACATTGTTGCAGTCTCTAACTCCCTGGTAATGGCTCTTCTCTGAGGTGTGCCCAGCAGAGAGGACTCACCCACACAGAGCCAGTGGAGAAGAGGCCCCTGGCAAGGCTCTCTTCCTGTCCAGAAGTACTCTTTACTGGACAACCTGTTTCCATTCATTTGTTTTAATCTTTCTTCTGATCAGGCCGGCAGCCCATTAATCATTTCTGTCATCCCCTACAGAATCCAGGGCAACAGATCTGTTTTTCTAAAGTCTCAGAGCCAGAAATCAACTGAAAAAAAGGGAGGGGGAAATCCTCTACCTCTCATGCGGCTGACCAGAACGCTGGCTGGAAGCAGCCACCAATTGTGTTCACTTTCCTCTGAGGCCCATAATTGTACACAACAGCCCATGGAAAGTTTTGAAAGGGAATCTGGATAGGAAGTGGAGCTGGGGAGGTCCAAGAGGAGCCTAAGATATGAAGCCACCAGCTGAGGAGGGTGTAAGAAATGGAGGTGGCTAAATAAATGCCAGGACAACAACAGAGACATAGATGCCCTGAAATGATGCAAAAATAAAAATAAACCAATCAAAATGCTACCCAGTGGCAAAGAAAATGTCTCTTATGGAACTGACATAATTGGTTCACTAAAAAAAAAATGTGGAAATAACTTTGAGGTCTTAATGAAGCACTAATATCTTATGTTCATGTATAAATATACATACACACATATGTAACAGCTTTGTTTATATTTTATTTCTATATCAGTTTGATCTCATGACTATATTTATATGATATATACATCATCTAAATTAAGGCTGAGACTTCGAGGCAGAGAAAACATGGAGGATATACTGGCAACAGAAAACAGAGCCCAACTTGCCTTGATCACCACATATATATAGTCTAGCTATTGTAATCTCTTAACTATACAGAAACTGTATAGAAATTCACCACTAATACCTGGTATAAAAGACGTATAAGACAGTAGGAATCCAGGTATCTCCTCCATAGCTGACACTGTCAATATGTTTAAAAACCAGTTCCTTTACAAATGAGAGAGAATGCCCGGAGAAGCCAGACGAGGCTGTAGTGCCAAATGTGATGTTCTTCAAAGATCCATGGACCCTCAGTAACAGACTCAGGAAACATGACAATTTCTTAAAGCTCTCTAACTCTATGATATTATACTCATGAGAATGGGCCAAGGTTCTGAGAAAAATGTGTGTATCTCATATATGTAAGCGTTTCCAAATTATGGTATTGAGCCCTGTTTTAAGTTGCAGCAATCAATTGTATCCAAAGCTTGATGTGGATACATTTTCAATACTGAATTTTGTGAATGATTTTCTGAAAAACTAAAGTAGAACCAGTTAGTTATAATTTAGTCATACTACTTGCCAGCTGCCACTTTTTATAGACCATGTAAAGACTATATAAATAGACTGCAGTAACATCACAGAAACATCACAGAAACATGGCTCTTTTAAGCTGAGTGAGAAATGATATATGAATAGTATTTGAATAATTTAAAGAATTTTTATGGGTAACTTTTACCCAGGTACAGTCGTATAAAGGCTAATCCCCTATGTTATAATATAGTTTTGAGAGGTGAGTGGATACAAATAAACAGCAAATGATGCGAACATTACAAAGAAAAAAGAATCTTACCACAAATGCTATTGAACTTCTCAAGGTGGATTCCCATTGGAAGCAGCTTTTGAAGAACTGTATCGTATTCCATACTGCCATAGTGAGTCTTTTCACCCTGTCTGCATCTCTTGATAAGATCTGTGTTTTCAAAGATGGGAAACAGAGAGGTAGATGAGATTTATATTCCCTGGATGTTCCCATAGATCAGCTGCCCTGGCTGTTTAAATTGTATTATGTCCAGTGCCAATTAAAAAGTACAAAGTTTTACTTCTAAAATTATTTCAAAATATTGTCATCCATAGGGAACAAGAATTCCCAACCTGTACTATGGCTCATTGTCTGAAAAACAGCTTGTTTTAATAGTGTTCAGTTCCAAACTGAGCTGACAAGAGAGAGGTGTACACGAGTGCTGTGTGCATGCATGTACATGGTATGGGAGAGCACATGTGTGCATGGTGTGGTAAGGAGAGACGGAAGTATAGAGACAGAGCAAGAAAGAACAATACTGAGACAGAATGGGAATGAGTATCAAGATGTTATTTAGTATGGTCACAACTGGAGAGAATGCTATTAGGAAAGCCGTACGATTGATTACAGCTTAGTTAGACCAAAAGGTGTACTCGTAGAAAGGAAATCCAGCTCCCTGTTTCCCAGCTGTACAGTGATCAACAGGTTTCTCAAGCCTTATTGCCTGAAAGGATTGGCATTGTTTTTAACCTTACAGATGGTAGGGAAGAATTCATGACTTGGTTTTAAGGTTTTGTTTCATAAGTAAAAACTTCAATTTATGACCATCTAGGGTAACCCAGTGGTGTGCAGCACTTGAGGAGGGTCCTGACCCACCCAGGGAATTTCGCCCCAGATACTCTCAAGCCAAAGCCACCCCAGAGGCCAAGTTGTTTTGTAAAGGAAATCTCTTTTCTCCCAGCGGGAGGCACAGTATTTTGATTTGCTTGCAAAGCTGTCGCCCTGCCTACCTCCACTTCGGTTTTAACTTTCAAGTAAACAGAGCAAAAACAAAACAAAACAAAATAATAATAAAAATGAAGACTTTTACTTGGATTACACACAATGACTATTGCACTTAATGCTATGGCACCAAAACAAAACACTCAGTTACTTCCCTCCAGAAGACTGCTAAATCCTTTCCCCAGTGCAGGGGCCCAGAAGTTCATGGGAAACAAAAGGAAGATAAGATTGCTTTATATTTAACTGCTTTGTGTCATGCACAGCTGCTCACCCCAGAGGAAGCTGTGGAAGTAATAAACACTTTTAAAGGGGGGACACTTTGTTCTTTGTTACACAACTGAAGAGGAACAATGGGTCCTGACTGAAATCCTGGACTATCTAAAGAGGACAGGGAGGGACACAGAAGAAAGAAATGCAAAGGTCATGGTTTTTCTTTTGGAATATGAAGTTCCTCCCCACTCATCCTAGATCTTTACCTTTTGTTGAACTGATAAGAATTCAGGGTGATGGGCAAACAGTAAGACAGCTAATTCAATGTGGGGTAAAATGCCTACACACCCTAAATTTAGACACAGGTTGCAAATAGGTGAATCCGAGGCTAGAAGCTTCCTCAGTCCCTTGGGAAATTCCTTCATCCACTGAACAGAGAGCCCTTGTGTTCAACTGTCAGAGAAGAAACCAAAATGAAGCAAGCGAAGAGGGTGGACAAAGAAATTTAGGTTGTCTGTGCTCCACGCTCACTTTTAGAGATCTGTTTGGCACACTACAGGGTGCACACTCCCTCTTGACTGACATGGATATGCTTTACGTCTCTCCTCATTGACCTGGCTGAAGCCCCATTATTGAGAGAGAAGACAAGAGAAGGAGTAAAAAGATGAGGAGGCCAGATGAAAAGGGAGTAAGAGAGGAGAGAAGTGGAAGAGAACCCAGCCATAACCACCAACACTTGGATCCTGGGTGCTGCATGCACTCAAAGGCCAGTTGTTGGGCGTCCCTACCTTTTTGGACAGCTTACGGCTGTCCTCCACAAAGCGTTTCTCTTTTGGAGTGAAGGTTCTGATGCTTGCTTTGACCTGTGAAAACACAGCTGTTAAAGGGACAGCATTCACAGGGATTTCATTCTCTTCCCAAGTGGCAGAGATCACAGAAAATGAGACCTTTTAACACAAAGGCCATGGGTAGAACCAGAAAGTGGTGGGTCCAGTCACGCCTGGCCACTTTCCAGGGTCTCAGAGTCATAAAGTCTCTGGGTAAGTCAGGCTGAACCTAGGACAGTTTTGTCATCAGCTGGATAAACCCACAGAAGTATTTCAAACCAGAACAGACACCGAGCTTCATAAATTTTCATGCTAATATAAATAACAAAAATTTCTCCTCTCATTTTGAACTAAACTTTTGGCAATTGTACCTAAAACAGGAATGACAGTTCTCAGTCCATAAAAACAACATTTCCACAGACAATCTCATTACCACTAGTGACCTGAAAAAGCAAGTAAATGGTCCATGTGAGCTCGTTTACAGACGGAAAACTGAGCCCCAGAGGAATTTACTGACTTGTTCAAACCAGCACAGTGAGGGAAAACTTCAAAACCTGAAACGCAAATCTACCTCCACTGTATCTCTCAACCAACACATTTCCACCTGCGACTGCACCCATGTCTTGGATGAATAACATAATCTCCACATAATCCATACAAAAGTGCTTCCCAGAAGAAAGCAGCAGATTGGGTCACCTCTCCGGCAAACCAGACAGATGGTGTGTTTGAGTGGAAAAGGAAGGGAGTAGGGAGAATACACTCATTTTGATGACCATCTCCTGATTTCAGCATTACTGAGGATTTGAGACTATAGAGATATATAATCTATGATACTCATTGTTTTAGAGACCACCCAGCTTGCATGTCACAGATTAAACAGATATGCTATATATGTAGCTTATATATAACATAAAATTTGTGTTTATAGAATGGAATATCTATACGTATAATACATCATATATCTGTGTAATCAGTAGATGACATATAGATATGAAAAGTATATATGTATGTATACAAAGACTACCTTTTCCTTCATTTTTAATTTTTTTCCTTGACATTTAGATTACTGAGAATTTAAACCTCATCAATCCTGCTGGCTCAACTATTTGAAACCTGGAACATTCAACATGGATTTTATGACTGAGGTGTAAACACAACACCATTTATTCTCCAGCTTCAATTCTGAAATATTTGACATTAATCTGAGACCACACAGGCTGAACGCCATGTGTTTTGGGTACTGAGAGGGTGGGAGGCATACCCTGGGGTACTTACCGGATTATATATGAGGTCCATCTCTAAGTAAATAAGTCCTTTAAAAGCTTGCTCCAAATCTTTATTCTTCAATACATAACAATTTGGTTGACCATCTCTAATCTGTTAGGAATAAAAGACAAAGTACATATTGGTGCCAATGTTTTGTGTGTTTTAAATGGAAAAAAACAAAAACTAACTTTGACTAAGTTGAAAACATATTTAGTTTTTTGGCCTCTGTAAAAAGTATTTTACAACTCATTTTTTATCTACTAGCATGCTTGGGTAATTTACTTACAGTTTTTACATTGATCACATTTTTACCACTATATGATTACATATGAAACAAATATTAGGCAGGTACTAAATGAAAGATAAGTCAACTTTTAATTCTAGAGTGGCATTGTAATTGTTAGGAAGATAAAGTAACAACCATTGGCTCAAAGTGGTGTGTTGACATAAACCTAGTTGTGCAGATTATGACATGGTGACAGGAAGTTTATTGTTCCCAAATTCTGAAGACTACATTTTCCTCATACTCAAATATGATGAACACTCTCCAAAATTTCTGGCTAATATTCTTTAAAAAATGTCAGGATCATGGAGAAAAAATGACAGAGTAGGAAACTGTTATGAATCAGAAAATACTAGGGTTATATGATAGGTAAAAGTATGTAATGTAATGAACTGGACCCTGGGAGAAAAAAAAAAAACCTATATTAATGAAAAAATAAAAACAGAAAAAATCTAATTGAAGACCCAAATTTACTTATTCATAACATACTATTATTGGTAATGTTTTAGTGCTGGCAGATGCAACATCATTACATAAGAAGCTAACATTGAAAGAAATAAGTCCACTTTCCTTAGCTGTTTTAGTTTAATTATAAAACCATTCCCCCCAAATATTAAAGAATCGTAAGGAAATGAATAAAGGAACTAATTTTTATTATGAAGCTCTCAGTGGTTCACTGGTCCCCTCAAAATTCATATCAATTAAATAAAAACCTAGCTGAATTTGCAGTCAAGATCCCAAATCATTCAAGATATACAACGTGCCTATACAGCCATATCTTTGACAGTAGCAAGTCCCTCTGACTTTCATCCAGCATGTCACACCATTTCCCCCACTCTATGCTACCTGCCTCTAGTTCCCAGAAAACAAAACATCTCAACAAACACGGCCTCCCAAGGCATTTCTGAAAGTCTTTGGCTCCCTTAAAATCACACTAGCTATAGAATTCTTTGTTCTGTCTTCAGATTGAGAGCATCCATGCTTTTCCAAAGTAGATGTTGGAAACCTCTGGCATTTAGGAAACATACTCTACTCTGCAGTGCCTCAGCACAACCTGGGTTTATTAAGCATTCAATTTGTGACTGTAATGCTTGATAATTCAAATATCTTGAAAAACTGGAAGGCCGGGAATCTGAGCCATATTTTAAATGACTATTGCTGTCACTACAGTCATTCACACAAGTGTTCTTATAAACACTGGTGGAAATGAGTTGACTAAGTCACAGTGGGGAAACAGCAATTCCACTTTACAAGGGAGAGGTCATCTTCCTTCCCAAAGCACCCCACCTCTCAGATTGAATAGCTTTCATACAGAAAGATGGTTTTCCTGGTCACTGGCCGAGAGGAAGGGGGTGCCCCATAAAGTCCCGGCTTCCTTCCTCAACGGTGTCCAAACAGGATCTGCAGCTTCCGCTCTGGCATAGAGTCTCACTTAATAAATTGTCGGTGTTAAAGTTGAAAGACATAAATACAAAAACAGCATGTCAATTTGCCAAGCTGAAGCGCTTCCAACTTCGTTTTGTTTCAGTCCTCAGTTCTTGTAATGGTATCCTAAAATTTCCATGATTTCTTAAGGGTGAGGGAAGGTCAGTAGGAGAACAAGTAGTATCCATATAAAAATATTTCATAGAAGAGGGAGGTTTTCTTTTTTTTTTAATTCCGTAAATGATCATTTCCTGTTACTCAATGTCCTTAGCATTGTGTCAGCAAAACTCAGAATCCACATAGGAACGCCAAAAGTATCATCAAAGCCAGAGACACAATGAAATGTAGTTTACTACTTTAATAGCAAATTAAGTTAGAATACACAAATTTTAAAGGTTTGAAGATTACTAAAGTAAAAACTCTAACCCTTTTCAAAGATACATAAATATCACAATTCCTTTCCTAGATCAGAAATTAAGTAGGAATTTGGCACACATTTCTCTTAATTTTTTTTCATTGAAACTTTATATTCACAAAAAAGCTTTAAATGAAGTATTCAATTTTTTATTGTTAAGACTACATGAAACCTATAACTTTATTTTATAGCTACCAATATAATTTGGTGATATTATTTTACATATGTCTCTTCTTTACTGCTATGTAATATTCAAAATGAAAATCAACTACAATGATTTGAACATGTGGTATCACAGTAAATACTGACACTAAACAGAAGAGAACATTCTGGAAAATATTTTCCAGTTCTATTATTTAAGTGAACTGTCAGCACTTGGACACAGGATAAACAGTAAGTTTGAAATGCTATTTGCAGCTGCCCAACTCCTATACTTTGATTGTGTTATATTAATGCCACACATGTCCATTATATATTTAAGGCCATACTCATGATTTATAGTGTTTTTATAGGGAAAATTCAGAGAATAATTTCTAGTATTAAAATTTTAACAATTCTATTCAATTACAAAATTCAAATACAGTTAAAAGAACATTTAGAAGTGAGAATCTGTGTGGATTTTTGTCTCTAATTGTGAGATGGCTGAACCCTAAGTTAGAGGCCCTGTCAACCCAGTCAGAAAGAAGCAACAGTTTCTAATTCATGACAAAAGGAAGTGGGTCCCATGCAGATTTAAAGAGTCTTCCATGCTAACCTTTGGGAGGACTGAGTTCCCATCAAACTAAGGTTCTTAGATGAAAGTACCAGATAATATATTGAACTTCAATTCTGTATGATAACATCTTGAAATGGATTTATTACATATTTTTTGTGCTCAACATCATATGCAACAAGGACAATATTAGACCATAATTTAAGGTATCTTCTCGGGGCAGTATAACACTATGTAATATACACTGCATAATTGGGAATAGTGCCTCCATTACCATTAATAGCATCTTTCATAATAATTATTAGCTGAAAGCAGTACTTACCAAAACTAGAAAAATTCCTTTCATAATTAAGAACAGTATCTTTCATATACAAGGAGGGACTTCCATAATCAGCAACAGTAACTTCCGTGATTTAAAAATGGCCATTTCTATCTATGTTAGATTATTTTTCAGTTTGGTATGAGATAGAAATCATCTGTCTGGAGTGTAGTAAAAGGTAACTCTTTGGTAATTTTCCAAATATTTTTTAAAGTACCAGGAAGTCTGTTACTAAATAATAATTTGAGATTTGGGATCAAAGAAAAAAATACTATGAGACCAGCCTGAAACTGCAGTGAAGGAGTGGAAGACATCCAGGGCATTCCTTCCCCTCTGAATTGTGGCCATACACAGACTGGGAGAGGAGAAGTTACTGCCTTTAGTTGTCTACCCTCTGATGTGCCCACAAGGTTCAAGCCATAGTTCCAATGCCATAGTCACCCAGATGAGGCTAGTTAATCTTGGTGGGCCACAACCAAAAGGAGCAGAAATGAATATGAGAGATAGATTTGTGTAGAGGAAGGAAGGAATCTTAGGAAGATGGCAGGGAGACTTTATATTTGTGTAAAAAAGCATATATAAAGCATGTGTGCGTGTGTGTGTGAGTGTGTGTGTGTAAAACTGCAAATTAAACTTTAAAATTATAATGTCAAGAAAATCAAAATTCTAATATAAAACATAATAATCCTTAAACTAACATTTTCTATATAAAAGAGCATTACCTCTGCTTATTCTTAAACACCATAAATATGAAAAGCTTTTTAAAAGCTGGTTAATAAAACCTTCGAGTCAGAGGAATACTCTATTCATTATTTTTAAAAACATAAACTGAATGTAACATACTGTAGCACATGAGGACACACAGAAAAAAAAAATCCCCATTTGCACTTTTTCCCAAACAAGAATTATCCTATTGTGATGCAACATAAAACTCTTTGATGTAATATGTTACCAAAGTGAATCAGGATCAATATGAGGGAATAAAACCACGGGAGAGCTTAACTAGGGAAGCCATGCATTTAAGATCAAAAATCCCAAGTAAAAAGTCATATTGATCCCATCACTGTTTGACCTTCAAACTAGAAAAGGCAGAACATTTGGATATATACTAGCTTCCTGTAGCAAATACGATTCTCCACTCCACATGACCAAAAAAAAAAAAAAAAAAAAGTGTAGCTACAGCATTGTACAGCAGCTGAGCCCAGCTAAGGCACAAGCTAAAAATTCGCCAATAAAATGTAACAAGGAGAGACATATGACTTGGCAAGAGGACAATTAATACACTATCTGATAGCATTTCTCATTCTTCATGCAGCTTAGAATCAGGCGAGGGTCCAATGTTATGAGTTACAAACAACAGGAAAGGTTGAGATTTCCAGGAGGCTATGCTGGGCCCTGCATAGAGACTAGCTACCAGGGACTGAAGGAGCCCAGAACCCCTCCTTAGCTCTTGCCACCACATCTTACTTCTCCTCTCCAAGGCAGTCAAGTCTTGTAGCAGAAGCAAGCCAAGAACTGAACTTGAGAAATGACAGGAAGCCTGGTACACTTAGGTCTTCTCACAGCCACTGTTCCTAAAATATGAGTTATTTCCTCAGGAACTTTACAGAGGATTCTAAAAGTTATGAGAAATTTTACACACAAACAAATTGCAAGAAAAATACAGCATAAAGAATTTTGGACAGTCGGGCAGTGGTGGTACAGGCCTTTAATACCAGCACTAGGGAGGCATAGGTAGGCTAACCTTTATGAGTTCAAGGCCAGCTTAAGGCCAGCTTAGTCTACAGAGTGAGTTCCAGGGCAGCCTTCAAAGCTACACAGAGAAACCCTGTCTCAAAAAAAAAAAAAAAAAAAAAAAAAAAAAAGATGCTTCATACATCTCAAGGAGTTTCTAAACAGAATACCCATTTTGAGCTTTACCTTGGATTTTACACTCTACTATCAAATATATTTTTAT